GCTACTGATTCCCTCCAGCAGTTCCCACATCGAACCCAGCAACAATAGACAAGGAAGTGTCAGTTATTAAATGGACTGAAAACACTTTCCATTGTTAAGTAAAGGATTTCCTTATGATTTCCCATGCCAAATAATAAATTCTAAGTTATACAGTGTGTGCCATGACAGACCAGTACTACTGAGAAGAAGGTAAATATTAAAACCAAATGACATCTTCACCATTTCTTGTCAAAGCTGGCTCAGGACTATCCCCAGTAAGTGCAAGGAGGAGTTTAACTCTTGTTTTTCCCCTTCCTCTTCCATTCTCAACTGGAAGGGATGAAAGGGGAATACACCTTTTTTGAGGGAGAGCTTTTCTCTTACAATGAAGAGGGCTTGTCCTCCAGCCATTGGAAATGTGGAACAGCCTGGTGGGATCTTGCTGTGATCCTTTCCATTTCCCTGGAAGCACGAAATGCAAACTTGTTCATTGCTTCATAAATACAGTAAGTGTTACAGTGAGGGTTTTTTAATGGAATTTTTTTTTCTTCCTTTCTTTTCCTCCAGTAACTAGAAATTGCAAATGCTCAGGAAAAGAAGAAGGATTGTAGGGGAGCCCAATTCCCTTGGGCAAGCTGTTCTACACGTGTACAGGAAATTGAATGCAGAAATTATTGCATGCAAGGCTGTTAAAGAAGTGTTGGGGTTATAAAACAGATCTTTCAGCTGCCACCCATTGTGGACATTCCAGTTGTAAAGGGTCAAGTTTTAATACAAATCTGCTGTCCCAAATTACATTTGTCTTTTTCCATAAACTAGAAGTCGTCAAAGATTTACAGGAAGGTAATTTTATTCCTTGTTACTTTAACTCACTTATCTTCTCTCTGAATTTCAAAAGAAGGAGAAGAAGGGGAAGAGAAGGAGAAGGAGAAGGAGAAGGAGAAGAGAAGGAGAAGGAGAAGGAGAAGGAGAAGGAGAAGGAGAAGGAGAAGGAGAAGGAGAAGGAGAAGGAGAAGGAGAAGGAGAAGGAGAAGGAGAAGGAGAAGGAGAAGGAGAAGGAGAAGGAGAAGGAGAAGGAGAAGGAGAAGGAGAAGGAGAAGGAGAAGGAGAAGGAGAAGGAGAAGGAGAAGGAGAAGGAGAAGGAGAAGGAGAAGGAGAAGGAGAAGGAGAAGGAGAAGGAGAAGGAGAAGGAGAAGGAGAAGGAGAAGGAGAAGGAGAAGGAGAAGGAGAAGGAGAAGGAGAAGGAGAAGGAGAAGGAGAAGGAGAAGGAGAAGGAGAAGGAGAAGGAGAAGGAGAAGGAGAAGGAGAAGGAGAAACTCGTTGGTTTGGTAGAATTTATTAGGACGCAGTGCTACAATGGCTTCTCTTCTTGGTCTGCTGAAATGTCCATGAAAACTCTGAGGGTCTCTTCCAGCATACCTTACATCTCTTGAAATAGGGTTAAAAATAAATAGAACACAAAACTTTATTGTGCTTGATGTGAGTCATTTATTACATACATTCTGTTCTCCCGATCTGATATCCCACCCTTTGCCATATGAGATCACAGCACATACTGCAAATGAGATGACTTGTTCTAAATAATTGTGACAATGAAGAGTTTGATATTCAGATTCTCAGTTGCTACCAGGAATTTTGATTACACTTCCCTTTCTCTGCTTCTACTTTTCTTACTGTTTTCAAGGCAACAGACAAAAAGATTTCTCAAGGCCATCTGCAGAATTAAATTTGAGATTATGATGCAATGAGGTACAGCACCAGTTAATTTAATTGGTTTTGAAAGAGGTAAAAGGAAAACAAGCTTACAGCCCCATCACTGAAATCATATTCTAGAGGCATGCTACTTCATGCTATTATTTTTCCTGAAATTAATCTGAATTTTGTTATCAGCAAATCAAAAGCTGATCTTCCAAACTTAACATAAATTCTGATCTAAATCCCTTTTTTACTTGAAGCCAGACACAAAATATATTCTTAAACACTGCTGCTCAATTTACACCCTGCCTATTAATGTTTCATCTGACTGTTCTAGTCCTATTCTTTATTCCTTCAGACTATAAATGCACAGGACAAATCCCCCAAGTTTTGCTTTTCAGGCTGCAAATTTAATTTTGGTGACTCTACATGAACTTTGAAGCTCTGGCTGGAGCCAGTCACTAGGAACTGCAGCTCCTACTTTGTAGAGGCTTAGTCTTGATTTTGCAAAGAGCTTTTGTGTAATCAGTCAATTAGAGCTGTGACCAGTGATCCATATCAGCAACTGATAGGGAGTGCAGGATTGGTACGTCTGGAATCCAGGTTTCAGCCTTTCTGGTTAGGTAGTGATTCTCAAACAGCACCAATATTCAAGGTATTACATTGATTTCTTCAATTCCTTGAAACTACAAACACCTACAATCAATTCTGTATTAATTATAGAAATTCTGGACATTGTTTCTTTCAAAATTTCCATCTATGCTGGCACTATTAGGAAATCCTTCCCTAATAGTTTTCGGTAACATCCTCTGGAAATGTAAATAAATACACTGATACAATTACAATCAGTTAATAACAACCAAATCCTACCACTACAGCTCTAAGTGTATTTGTTTAAACTCTGAAACGGTGTATTTAGATTGTTTTATCTCTTTGTAGAAGCCTAACTTTTAAAAGAGTATTAAACCAGAGTAAATTTTGTGGAAGTGGGTGCTTATTTAAAGGCCACATATTTAACAAGACAGGTTAATAGCTGCTGTTCTGTAAGAAAGAGTAATTGGGAAAAAAACTTCAGAGCTTAGCATTATTTTATAGTTTCCCCTTTCAATGACACCCTGAGATCACATTTGCTGAGATCTCTGTTGTCATAAAATGCTCACATGATTACTGACAATATTTGTTGAATGCAAATGTGTTCTCCACCACTTAGAATGAATGCTGTGCATAGTGCCTGCCACTGCCTTTAAATACTCAAATGTGCCGTGAGTCACTTGCAGTCAGTTTGACTTAAATATTGCTAATTCGTCTCTGAGTGTAGTTTTGTGTACTTAATAATGGAGGAGCCACCAGAGCTTGAGCAGTTGTGAGCGTGTCATGGGAAGCCACATCCAGGGCTGAAGCAGCTTCCACCTTGGATGAATCCCTGAGAATAAGAACTGGAGGGAGATCAGCATGGTCACACAGCAGCTGGCCTTGTTCCTGAATTTGATCACAGACATCAGGTCTCAGGGATGCTCTGAGGATGCCTGACTGCTTCCCACAGAGACCTGAGGGCTAAGGGGGCAGTGCAGGGACAGATGAATAGAGATGTTTGCTGTCCAGGCATTGAAGAAGAAAATCCTTCATGGAAGTGGCTGTCCACAAGGAAAATGGCACCAGGAGGAGCAAGGAGGTGGATGGGCCTGAACCTCAGATGTTCAGGAGAGAAAACATCTGGAGATGTTTGGAGAAACCAAATGAGTGGATGCAGCAGAAACTGTTTGGTAGTTAGAGAAGGGAAAATCCTGGGGCTCTGCCATTGGCATTATTTCTGCCATTTCAGCTGACTACATCAACTGTTCTTCAAGAAGGAAATGAGTTCTCAGGTTTTCCCCTGAGGACCAGTTCCTGTCGACTCATCCCCACTCCAGTGCCAGACAACACCATCAGAGCTGGCTTCTCAGCACCCACCTTTGTGGTAAAGAACCACAAAGGTGTCTCTGGAAGGGATGTACCCCTGTCTGCAGTGCCCTCCTCCTCTTCCTCATGGCAATATGTGGTGTTGAACAAGTTCTGCATCACCTAATGAGGCATCTGTGTGACAGGTCTGCTCTAACTTCTGATAACCAGTGTCACATCAGCCTGCCTCACTGCCCTTGCACCACAGCTAGCTGCTGCACAGCTGCCCTGGGGCACTTTAAACACTTGGGTGTTTTAAGGGAAAATATATTTAAGTACCCAAAATGAAGGTGGGTCAAGCAATTGGACTCTCAGCATGGGAGAATGGCATTCAGGCTGCACACAGGCCCATGAGACACACTTTATCTGGGAGTGGAGCTCATCCTTTCTCCAGACCATCGGTGCCTAGTGCGGAGGCCAAGTACCTTCTGGAGTCAAATAGGATGGGGCTCACCACTGTTTCTCCAAAGACTGGAAAGAGAGATAGAATAGACTGACTCTTTCAAAGCATGGCTGCAGAAGAGAAGGGCCCTAGTTTTCCATTGCTATCACTCTTTTCTAAAACTGTGACAGAAAACAACCTGTTGGTAAGGACCAGAAGTAACGCTTTTACCTATGGGATCTTGTTGATGCTGTTTGTTTATCCATCTCCACGGACCTGACTTGGCTTTGGTGGGAAGGGTGTGGGCATGCAAGGACACCTGTCCTGGGCTCACATCCATCATCTCCTGCTCTCCTGGGGCATGATGGATCCAGACTATTTGAGCCCCATGGCTCAACTGGAGCTTAAGCAGAAAAATGGCACCCTCCTGTGGCAATGGTTTAAAAAAAAGAATAAAATAAATAGCTGTGCCTAAATTCAGAGCAGGGTCTAATCGCATCAGCATGTGTTACCCCTGTATACACCCACCAAAGGAGGCTTCATGGGGGATGAAGGTGCCCCTGTGCAGGCACAAAAACATTGGGATTTGAGAGCTGGGGCGATGCAGGGAGTGCACCAGAGCAGAGCCAAGGCAAAAAGCCTCCAAGGTCAGGCAGGGAGTCCTGTGGCGAGCTCAGAGGCAACTGTTCAGCAGCACGGAGCCACTCTGGATCCCAAAGTCCACATCCGGACAGCTTCAGAGCCTACATCCTTTTTTTGGACTTGGCTCTTTGTCAAAACCATAGGGTACAGTGCCTGCATGGACTTCAAAGGGAGGACACCAAATGTGATTTGGCCCAGGCAGTTACGACCATTTATTGCCAGCATCTTTCTCAGATACTGCTGCCAAGGGTTAAAATGTTTACATGCCCCCTGATTTTAAATGGACCGGGTAGCATGTCAAATGCCAACGAGAGGGACAGCTGGAGTATCTAAACCAAGAGCTTTGATCTTGGTATCTGTAAAAAAGAGGTCATTTAGTCTCCCCAGGAAGCACAGACATTTAGAAGGTCCCCGTACAACTCATGCAAGTATTTTATTAACAACAATTTCTATTCACATTTAGGTAGGTTGTGTTACTACTTACTTAAATTCCTCTTATATATGCATGTATATGCGTATATATGTATGAATATCTGCATTTTGTGTGTGTGTGTATGCATATATGTACACACACATATCTCATACACACGAATCTGTGTGCTTGTGTGATTATCTGTGTGCTTTCTAATGTCCAGTATTTCTATGCAGATATACTGATCTGTCTAACTTACTTGCAAACAAACAGCAATGGTTTAAGCATTATATTTTATCTCTAAGTCAGTGTTTGCAGAAGTGACCTGAAAAATTTGTCTGTGTGAGATGCTTTGAGTAAACCTGCAATTGTAATAATAGAGTGTGGTGTTTTCAAGAAGATGCAGGCATGAAACACAGACTTCATTGTGCTGTAATCAGGTCTGACATTGATTCAGAAGAGAAGAATTCTAAAATACAGTATTGCACAGGGAAAATATTTTTATTCTTTAAGAGGGGGTTTTGGTGGTTAGTTCACAATGCAATTAAAATAGCCACCAGATGTTTACGACCAGGCAGCAGTTAAATTTAGTGTCTCTGATCGCTGTCCTTCGCTTCTTTGTCAGAATAAATAAGTATGTTTCTGTGCTGGAGGAAAAAAATCCTTAATTTTTAAACATACGGGGGTGGGAGGGGTGGGTATTTCCATTTGGCAGATCTCATGCTGTTCTGTGGCAGACTTCTAAGAAATTACAATTTTGAAGTTAAAATAAAATCTCTCTCCAGGATGAAATAAACATATTTACTCAAATGTGAGATGAAATGTACAGTAACATCATTAAACTGAAGTGATTTGTGAGAAGCAGTATTGTAAAAAGCTGTGGCTTTTCCAGAGCATATAATAAATAGAAAGATACATTTTTTTCCCATTGAATAATAGGATTATTAGTATGCAATTTTTTTTAAAGACACATTTAAAGAGAGCCTGCTGGGCTCTTATTATGGTAAATTTTTTAGAGTCTGCTATTCTTATTTGTTTCAGGGCTGTTAATTTTGAGGCTACATTATATTCGAATTATATTTGATTACCAGGCTCAGTAAGTGATCACAGTTTGTGTTCCAGCACCAAAAGGAAAGTTAATAAATTAAGCTTCACACTAACATTTTAAGAGATAAATTATTGAGGTTCTGCAAAATAAATTTTAAAAAAAAGAGCTAAAAAAAGTTAGAAGGATCTGCTGGGCACCTTATCTAAAGGAGGAGAGCCCAGACAGGGGTTAAAAAGCCCTGAAGTGTCCTAACTTTAAATCCTGTATTTTAGCTATTCATTCACATCTGAGATGATGTGTTGACGAAGTAATCAATAATTAAAGAATATAAATTTATGAAATATCTCAGATAATATGAAAATAGATAAGAGATTTGTATTCATGGGTACATAGCAATTTCCATTTCCCTATTCCCATCTCTCTGGGTTTCTCTGGCAGTTGCTGATGTCAGGAGCCAAGGCTCTGGTTGTGCCCATCAGCTCCAGCCCCACGGGCTCTCAAATGGGGGACTCAGAAACACCCAAAGTGACACAAAGGATGGAATATCAAAGGCTCTGCCACCATTCAGGGCTACATTCAGCATTTACTCCTCAGTGTTTCTGTTATGGCAATCATTCAGGTTGAAAGAGACAGTGTGGGTTTATAACTTATATTAAAGTACGCTGTGGTTTTAGGATATGCAAGTCACAGGGTGCTGGATTTGCTGGCAGTGTTGTTCCAGCAAACTTACAGTTCATCCCTCCTGCCACCCTGGAGTGTGGGACTGCACAGGGTGAGTAGGAAGGACTGCAGCAGGACAAAGAGTTAATCACCCAACCAGAAACTGTATTTTTGTAGAATACAAGTCAGTCACTCAAATCAGGGCATGATGCCAAAATCAAGACGAGCAGGTCAAAAGCAAGTCACCCTTAAGTCTCACTGCAGGCTGCCCCAGGTAATGGAAGGGCTTGTTTTGCTCTGTCTCTAATCCTGGAAACTCAAATTAGACTCTGAATGAGCAACAGTACCCCTGAGCATGCAGGTCTTAAACAGCATTATTTACAAAAAAAAAAAAAAAAAAGATTTTATTTCTTTTAATCAGCTTTTCATTACTTAATAATATTTCTTGGTAATACGGTTCAGGTGCAGAAATATATCACAACACAAATCCCTGCCCCAAACTGCCTTCCAGCCTCATGTGTACCAACTGCTGTGTCTCAGCTGCCATTGTTCTCTCTCCAAAACCCAAACTTTGTGATCTTTTATTTTTAACCTGCTGTAGCTGGTAGAGGGTGTCTAAAATCAGTGTCAACCAGTTTAGCAACATCTTCCAGTCAATGATGCAAAATTATCCCATTATTGTGAATATATTTTTTTCCTTGCTTAGTTCCCTTGTTGCATTTTTTTATTAATTGCCACCATGAATTACTTATTGCAATCAGGAGAGAATTATGTGATTTGATTCAAGGCTGGTATTTGCTTCTTTTTTCTTACCTGTTCTGCAAAAATTTCCTTACTCTTTTCTTATAAGAATTTAAATAGCAACACCATATTTCACAGCCTGAACTTATTCACTACTTACTGTGTTTTTTCCTGTCCTTCCTTCTCTGTGCCCCCTTTTTCTGGTGCTTTTCAGCCTCACTTCAGCTTTAGGGTCTGGGGCTTGCAGACACTCCCCTGCTCAGAAATTTCCCTGTGTCAATGGCACCGCTCAGATGTGAAAAGTAACTCAAGTACTGGAGCTCTTGGAGAGCAGGACACGAACCAGGAGTGATTTGAGTGTAAACCAACCAAGCAGGTTCCAGAAAAGCTTTTCTGAGCCCAAATGATTTCAATGTGCTAAAATTCACAAAATGTAAGGCAGATGTGCAGTGGTTGGGAAATGATGCTGGCCATGAGATAAGAGCTGTGATAACTTCTGACCCTCCTTTTGATGTTATCCATGTGATGCCACACCACTAGCAGGGTCACCTAATGCAAAATAATTAATAAGCAGGGAGGGAAAATGCAATTAGGAAGCAATTCAGCAATGGTTTGCAAAAGCCTGTTTTCAGCCCACTGGAAGTTGTAGCAAGGCTGTTTGTGTAACAGCCTCCCTGTTGCCCAGAAACAGCACATGAGACTACTGAGTGTCTGCAGAAACTCAGATCTGGTTTGTTTGGTTTGGATGTGCAGGAAAACTGATTTTTAAATGTTACTTCAGCTTTGAGTCAGTGATTACTTTGGTACTTTTACAAGCCTTGCCTGGAAATGGGATGTTAATTGTTGTTAATGAGTCTGTCCACCTGAGTAAGCTCTGCAGGGCAGAACTCACAGAACATAATTCCTCTGTGATGTCTCCAGAGTCTGCACTGCTCACCCTGGTGTCTCTAGCATTTAAGAGCAACGGCACCAAATCTGCTCCTTCAGACCTCAGAGCTTTCTTCTCAGTCCAGGACAGTAGCAATTTCTGTTCCTCTCTCGGTCCCATGGGGATTTTGGAATGGAGTAAAGCCAAGGTTCAGCTCTTGCTGACATCTTTGACACAGGGAGAGGACACTTGTGGGTATGGGACTGTGGGATACTGAATAGGGAAAGAAGAATTTGGATATGGAGCTGGAGATTCATATTTTTATCTAGCTTAATCCATGCTGTAAATGTGAGTAAAGGTGTACTGAGCTGCTTTATCCTGATGGTGGCCTTTTTTTTTTCTGCGTTGACAATTTCTGTTCCGAATGCTTCAGTTCAATTTTCATTGACCTTTCCTCTGCTATGGTACCTTAGGACCTATGTTTATGGCATTTCTTCACAATCTATCAGTCATGTTTGCCTGTGACGGATATTTCATAGTAGCTCCCTTTGGGGGTCCCAGGTAAATAAAAAAATACTTAAAAATACTACATTAAAATATTCCTATTTGGGATGGAGAGAAGACAAAGTTTGAGCAGTTTGAAAGATAGTGAAGCTTTATATTTTGCTTTTGTGGGTGATACCTGCCTGAACACATGTTATGGTCTTATTCACAAGGAAATAAAACAACTTTATTACCAAGTTTTTGTGTCATAGCTGATAATCCCATTTATCTGCCTCTAGCTCACCAGGCTTCTTGTGCAAAGTGCAGAGTCAAAATTGTCACACGTGGCATTGTTCCCCAAGTTACTCCAGCTATCTATCCAAAGTCACCACAAGGCTGTATTATCCCATGAATTTCTTAATCTCATCCTCCACTGGAAGAGCCAAGTAACGGGTGGGGTTCTCAAGCCAGCAGTAAATGTCACTGGGGCTTGGCTGCTTCAGGCTAAAAGGAAGGGCTAACAAGCTCAGAGACAAGAGCCCTCTTGGAAAATTCCCTGTGAGCAGCTGCTCAGCCACAGGAGCATCAGATCCAGAGATCAAAGCTGGCAGGGTGTCCCATGAGGAGGTGGGCAGTGATTCAGCCAAGCACCATTACAGTCAGCAGCCCCTACAGAGGAGCCCTGTCCACACTGCCTGTGCCCTGGGGAACAATTCAGCTGGACAACATTGCATTCCCCAGACAGAAATATTCTTTTAGTGTTATTCTAGAGCAAATTCTTCACTCTGCACACAGTGTCCATATGTCTATGTGTTTCCAAATTCGTTTCTGCAAGAAATAAAAGGTTTTCTGATGGCAGTAAGGTTTGCCCACTCTTGGGCTCATGGACCCTCATGTTCCCAAGTCCAACATCTTCATCTCACTGGTGGAGCAGTTACTTCAGCTCAGTTATCCTCCAGAACTGGAGACTGAGGTGTCTTTTCAATGACCCACTGTATCATTTTCACTGTGCTGCTCCTTCATTTTGGGGTGGGATTTATCTTGTTCATCTGTTGTCTTCTTTAGGCTGAGTTGTATGCAAAGATCTCTTTCCAGACTACGGCTGGTCATGGCATCCAGTCTGGGCCAGGCATGTGCTGCTCTTTCTGGCCATATCCAACAGTCTTCAAATTAAAAAAAAAAAAGTAAAGCAGAGAGGAAAAAAAAAATCCTCATTATTTACAGTGAAGAAATATCATATTGCATGCTATT